GGTGGGGGGTGGGGGGGTTTTTTTCAATTGTGATGTATTTGTGATGTGTTTTTTTTTTTATGTTGAAAATAACATTGCTTTTATGCGAATGTTTTATTTAGGTATTAAACTTACATGCTGCCCATCTCTCCTAGAGGTGACTCTAGGAAATTTACAGTTAATGAAAGCAACAAGACAAACTATTAAAATATTAAAATAATAAATGTTAACACTATAATTGACTTAAAAATTAAGCAAAGAAGGCAAGGAAGGGAGCAAGATGCACATATGGAAGAGGTAGGGTCTTATCATAGTCCATTAATCATCTCCGAAATGACATGCCCCCATCGAGACCCCAAGCCAATAGGCAGAGCGAGGTCTTCAGTCCCTTTCAGAAGGCCAAAAGGGTGGGTGTGTATCTCAATTCAGGTGGGGGCACAATATTCCAGAAGGTGGGAGCCATGGCAAAAAAGGCTCTTCTGGACCCCACCAGTCAGAATTATTTGACCGATGAAGTCTGCAGCATGCGCTTCTTCCAAGGTGGGTGAAGTGGGCCAATTCCTTGTCCAATGTTAATGTTTTTCTGCTCTAATTTGTAAGTGAATATATGGGAAGGATAGGGACAGTAAATAAAATGTTTTTGTGTATATTTATATTTATTTTATTATGTATTTTATATTTAAAGAACAATGCCTGGATTTAAAATAGTGAAGAAAATATATAGTATTTTTACTGAATTGGAAATAATAATAATAATAATAATAATAATAATAATAATAATAATAATAAAAGTTGGAAGGGACCTTGGAGGTCATCTAGTCCAGCCCCCTGCTCAGGCAGGAAACCCTGTACCATTTCAGACAAATGGCTGTCCAGTCTCTTCTTAAAAACTTCCAGTGTTACAGCATTCACCGCTCTGGAGGCAGGTTGTTCCACTGGTTAATTGTTCTAACTGTCAGGAAGTTTCTCCTTAGTTCTAGGTTGCTTCTCTCCTTGATTAGTTTCCATCCGTTGCGTCTTGTCCTGCCTTCAGGCGTTTTGGAAAATAGCTTCACTCCCTCTTCTTTGTGGCAGCCCCTGAGATATTGGAACACTGCTATCATGTCCCACCTCGTCCTTCTCTTCATTAAACTAGACATACCCAATTCCAGCAACCGTTCCTTATATGTTTTAGCCTCCAGTCCCCTAATCATCTTTGTTGCTCTTCTCTGTACTCTTTCTAGAGCAGCGGTTCTCAACCTGTGGGTCGCGACCCTTTTGGGGGTCGCATGAGCCTTTCACAGGGGTCGCCTAAGACCATCGGAAAACACATATTTCTGATGGTCTTAGGCAGGGCTTGTCAACCGCCTTCTCTCCCTCCCCCTCTCCGCTCCACCTCACTTGTTTGTGGAAAATATGCTGCTTGGTGGCAGTCTGCACAAACTCTACCAAATGTGCCCTGCAGGGGGTGCATGAAGAGTGCAGGCGCAGAGCAAGGCCCCGCCCTCCCCAGAGACTCATTGTGCAGCAACCGGATTGACTTCTTCTCGTGCACACAGGTCAGCAAAGGGGAGGCCGGGGCAGCACCCAACTGCTGCGCCCGTCAGCTGCCGACCCCCGAACTTGCACTTGTCAGCCGGTCTCCTTTGCCACTCCGCCCGTCCTCGACTCCTCCCCCGCCCGTTCATGTCCAGCCCGCCGGGGCTTGACAGGGAGAGAGGGAAGGAAGGAGGAAGGGACTCCTCCTCCTCTTGTAAGCTTCAAAGCACGATCGGCTTCCCAAGGGCGCCACAATCCTCACAAAAGTGGGGGGGAGAAGCAAAGGAGCGAGAAAGCTTGCGGCGGGCTCGAAGGAGCACCTGTCAGCGTTGGTGACGAGAAATTCCCCACAAACCCAGGGAAGGGGTGGAGAAAAGGAGCCCTCTTTGGGAGGAAACTGCCACCTTCTCCTTGGCTTTGCGCTCTTCTGTTCCTCGGTAGCCGGGCTGCCAAGCCTCTGCTGGCTGGAACTTCCTTTCCTTCCCTCCCTCTTGGTCTCTTCCTCCTTCCCTCCCTCTCCCATTGTCCCTTCCTTCCTTCCTTCCTTCCTTTCCTTCGCCTCCCTCTTTGTCCCTCTTTCCCCTTGGCCCTTCCATCCTTCCTTCCTTCCCTCTTGTCCAGGATCGGGGCGAGCCTCTATAGCTGATCCGCGCTTCTGCAGAGCAGCCCAGCCCTTGCTAATTTAGCAGAAGCGCGAATCAGCTGTAGCCCGGCGCTGATCCTAGAGCTTCTGCTAACTTAGCAAGCAGCATGTCTTTCGGCGAAGCTGAGCAAGTGAGCTGGGCGGAGCTCTCCTCTGTCTCTGCCTGTGTACAGGCAGGTTTGCCGGCAGCAAAGCCCCCAGCCACGCTGGCAGCCTATCCTTGTCCCTTCCTGGGCATGGAGGGGGGGAGGAAGGAAGGAACGAAGAGGGAGGGAAGTAAGGGACAATGAGAGAGGGAAGGAAGGAAGGAACAATGCTAGAAAACATGCTGCTTGCTAATTTAGCAGAAGCGCAAATCAGCTGTAGCCCGGCGCTGATCCTGGAGCTTCTGCTAACTTAGCAAGTAGCATGTCTTTCGGCGAAGCTGAGCAAGTGAGCTGGGCGGAGCTCTCCTCTGTCTCTGCCTGTGCACAGGCAGGTTTGCCGGCAGCAAAGCCCCCAGCCACGCTGGCAGCCTATCCACCTCCCCTTGTCCCTTCCTGGGCACGGAGCGGGGGAGGAAGGAAGGGACGAAGAGGGAGGGAAGTAAGGGACAATGAGAGAGGGAAGGAAGGAAGGAACAATGCTAGAAAACATGCTGCTTGCTAATTTAGCAGAAGCGCGAATCAGCTGTAGCCCGGCGCTGATCCTGGATCTTCTGCTAACTTAGCAAGCAGCATGTCTTTCGGCGAAGCTGAGCAAGTGAGCTGGGCAGAGCTCTCCTCTGTCTCTGCCTGTGCACAGGCAGGTTTGCCGGCAGCAAAGCCCCCAGCCACACTGGCAGCCTATCCACCTCCCCTTGTCCCTTCCTGGGCACGAAGGGGGGGAGGAAGGAAGGGACGAAGAGGGAGGGAAGTAAGGGACAATGAGAGAGGGAAGGAAGGAATAATGGAAGGGAGGGAAGGAAGGAAGGGACAAAGAAGGAAGGAAGGAAGGAAGGAAGGAAGGAAGGAAGGAAGGAAGGAAGGAAGGAAGGAACAAGGGGAGAGGGAGGGAAGGAGGAAGAGACTAAGAGGGGGGAAGGAAACGAAGGAAAGAAGGAAAGAAGGGACAATGGGAGAGAGGGAGGGAAGGAGGAAGAGACTAAGAAGGAGGTGAAGGAAAGGAAGGAAAGAAGGAAGGAAGGGACAATGGGAAAGGGAGGGAAGGAGGAAGAGACTAAGAAGGAGGTGAAGGAAAGGAAGGAAAGAAGGAAGGGACAATGGGAGAGGGAGGGAAGGAGGAAGAGACTAAGGGAGGTGAAGGAAAGGAAGGAAAGAAGGAAGGAAGGGACAAGGGGAGAGAAGGGAGGGAAGGAAGGCAGGCACCCACCCCAGTCCCATCCCAGAGACCCACAGATTTCCCCCACAGGCACTCTGCAACCTGAGTGATCAGCTGGCCACACCCCCTGGCCATTGATCATGTGACCCTGGGACACTGTGAACGTCATAAGTATGAATCAGTTGTCAAGCATCTGAATGTAAATCATATGACCCTGGGGATGCTGCAACAATCATAAGTGTGAAAAATGATCATAATTCGCTTTTTCAGTGCTGTTGTAACTTCAAACAGTCACTAAGCGAATTGTTGTAAGTCGAGGACTACCTATACTTTCCCATTTTTTCCTTTTTTTGGTCAAGTTTTTGATATCCCCCCCGCCCAGCTGGATGGGGGGTTGGGGGTCACCACAACATGAGGAACTGTATTAAAGGGTCGCGGCATTAGGAAGGTTGAGAACCACTGTTCTAGAGTCTCAACATCTTTTTTACATCGTGGTGACCAAAACTGGATGCAGTATTCCAAGTGTGGCCTTACCAAAGCATTGTAAAGTGGTATTAATACATCATATGATCTTGATTCTATCCCTCTGTTAATGCAGCCTAGCACTGTGTTGGCCTTTTTGGCAGCTGCAACACACTGCTGGCTCATATTTAAGTGATTGTCCACTAGGACTCCGAGGTCCCTCTCACAGTTATTACTATTGAGCAAGGTACCCCCTATACTATACCTGTGCATTTGGGGTTTTTTGCCAGTCAGTTAAATTTGTGCCTAGGTTCATCACATAACAACCAAGAATTAAAAAACTTCTGCTTTCTTGCCAAAATGAATTTCTAACACAACAAATAGTAAACATCTGAAGTGATTGTTCTGATCGCTTCAGAACCATAAAATGTACCATGGAATATTTAGTTTTTTTCAGCTTGTGAAGATAAAATCTCATATTTGAAATATATAACTTGATAAACAAAATTATACTTTTATTTTGTATTGTTTCTTATGTATTTCCTATATTAATTCTAATCCTAATTAAGATGAATGATAAACTAAATGTGCTGTTTTTCATTTCTAAATATACCATTGGATTAGAATTCTGGTATCTTCTTTTATTTTGCTATCCTATTCACTGAATTACTTGTTTTCTGTGTTTAAGACAGATGCACATTATGCCATACTCTCACTTCTATTGTGCTTGTCTGATTCTCCTTCCAACACCAGCTTTGCAGAAGAACCAATAAAAAAACTAGTAGGTAGGTTGAGAGCATCCAAGAAATTATAAGGAAAATGCTTTATTCTACCATTTTGATTATATATTTTTCAATGTTGTGTTGTCCTTTTTAAAAAATAATTATATGCACTAGGAAGGTACTTGATTTGTAGCAATGACATACAGTAAATGGATTTTCTCTATTAGGATATAGTGAGGGGAAAAAATTATTTGATTCCCTGCTGATTTTGTACGTTTGCCCACTGACAAAGAAATGATCAGTCTATAATTTTAATGGTAGGTTTATTTTAACAGTTAGAGACTGAATAACAAAAAAAAAAATTTCAGAAAAATGCATTTCAAAAAAATTATAAATTAATTTGCATTTTAATGAGTGAAATAAGTATTTGACCCTTTCACAAAAGATGCCTTAGTACTTGGTGGCAAAATCCTTGTTGGCAATCATAGAGGTCACACGTTTCTTGTAGTTGGCCACCAGATTTGCAAACATCTCAGGAGGAATTTTGTCCCACTCCTCTTTGCAGATCCTGTCCAAGTCATTAAGGTTTGGCAGCTCGAACCTTCAGCTCCTTCCACAGTTTTTCTGGAATAGAATAGAATAGAGCTGGAAGGGACCTTGGAGGTCTTCTAGTCCAGCCCCCTGCTCAGGCAGGAGAACCTATACCATCTCAGACAAGTGACTGTCCAGTCTCTTCTTAATGAAGATATTGAAGAGTACTGGGCCTAAGATGGAGCCTTGTGGTACCCCACTGCTTACTTCTCTCCATGTAGATGTAGTACCATTGAGGACTACTCGCTGAGTATGGTTTGTCAGCCAGCTACAAATCCATCTGATGGTGAGATTTTTTTCTAGCTTACTAAGCAGCAGGTTGTGGTCTACTTTGTTAAATGCCTTACTGAAGTCTAAGCATACTATGTCCATAGTTTTTCACTGATCTACTAATTTAGTCACTTTATCAAAGAATGAAATAAGATTGGTTTGGCATGATCTGTTTTTGACAAACCCGTGCTGGCTACTGGTTATAACTGGCACATAATTCTATGGGATTAAGGCCTGGAGACTAGCTACTCCAGGACCTTAATGTGCTTCTTTTTGAGCCACTCCTTTGTTTCCTTGGCTGTGTGTTTTGGGTCATTGGCATGCTGGAATACCCCTCCATGACCCATTTTCAATGCCCTGGCTGAGGGAAAGAGGTTCTCACCCATGGCCCTGTCCATTGTCCCTTTGATGCAGTGAAGTTCTCCTGTCCCCTTAGTAGAAAAACATCCCCAAAGCATAATGTTTCCACCTCCATATTTGACAGTGGGGATGGTGTTCTTGGGGTCATTCATAGGCAGCATTCCTCCTCCTCCAAACAAGGCGAGTTGAGTTGCTGCCAAAGAGCTTGAGTTTAGTCTCATCTGACCACAACACTTTCACCCAATTCTCTGAATCATTCAGGTGTTCATTGGCAAACTTCAGACGGGCCTGTACATGTGCTTTCTTGAGCAGGGGACCTTGCAGGCACTGCAGGATTTCAGTCTTTCATGGCGTACAGTGGTGGTGAACCTATGGCACGGGTGCCAGAGGCGGCACTCAGAGCCCTCTCTATGGGCATGCGTGCTGTCGCCCCAGTCCTAGGCCTTCAGCTGGGTTTTATAAAACCTTTTCGCTTTAGGCCTTCGCCGCCGTGTACAAAAAAAAAGGTTCAATCAATCAGTCAATTTCAACTTCTCACAGGAAAAAAAAATCTTGCAAAGTTGGAATTGATTGATTGAACTTTTTAGTCCCACCCAGTCTGCTGTTACCACCGCAGCCACGCCCGCCCAATGGGCCACCCCCACCCGGCACCCGACGATGCATAAATGGGTTTTGGGTTGCAGTTTGGGCACTCGGTCTCTAAAAGGTTCGCCATCACTGGCGTAGTATGTTACCAATTGTTTTCTTGGTGACTATGGTCCCAGCTGCCTTGAGATCATTGACAAGATCCTCCCATGTAATTCTGGGCTGATTCCTCACCATTCTCATGATCATTGAAACTCCACAAGGTGAGATTTTGCATGGAGCCCCAGATCGAGGGAGATTGACAGGTATTTTGTATTGCTTCCATTTGCGAATAATTGTACCAACTGTTTGGAATCTGATTGATTAATTGCTTCTGTGGACAGGTATCTTTTATACAGGTAAGAAGCTGAGATTAGGAGCACTCCCTTTAAGAGAGTGCTCCTAATATCAGCTCGTTACCTGTATAAAAGACACCTGGGAGCCAGAAATCTTGCTGATTGATAGGGGATCAAATATTTATTTCACTCTTTAAAATGCAAATGTCATGGTTCCAACAGACAGACAAATAAAGCAGAACTCTGAGGCTTGCAAGTTCCTCAAAGAACATGTTTATTGATACAAAGTATCGGCACGTCAAAAGTGAAACCAAGTCTGAATAGACATGTAACAATCCCCAATACAAAGTTAAGAAATCCCACCACTAAAGCTATGCAAGCTACTACGTTCCTCAATACATCTTCTTGGCGGACTTTTCACAAAACGCCCAGCCTGCAGTCCCGGGAGCAGCCGATGACCTTGGTTCCCACGGGAGAAAATCTTTTTAGTCTAGCAAAGCACCTGGTAAACCCCCTCCCTCCGTGCTATGTGTCAACCGAAAATGAGTAGGGAAAATGGCTGCATCCATGCTCATTTTCAAAGTTGACAGTTGGCTCCTCTTCAGAAAGAAAGAGTCTCCTGCAAGGGAAACAAAAATCAGGTTAGGTATCCCCTCGAGTCTTGTGAGGGTATTTATCATAAAACTTTTTTATCAATCTGCCTTCACATTTGTACATTTCACCCATGTAGCCTCTGAAAGGTGGTAGCCTTTCCACTGGACAAGGTATTGTAACTTTCCCTTGTACAGCCTAGAATCAAGAATACGTTTTATTTCATAATGCGTCTCTCCCTCTACCACCACTTGACCAGGCGGCTCTTTTGGAATAGGTCTTAAAGTGGATTCTGACACAGGTTTCAAAAGACTGCAATGTCACCCATTGGTCCAAAGTCTGGGAAGTAGGAGGCTCCTGTGGAAATTCAGGCATGGGCACAAAATCTCGACCCGTCACTATTTTGAATGGGATGAGACTAGTGCTACTGTGCACAATATTATTGTAGGCTACCTCTGCAAAAGGTAAAAGGTCAGCCCAATTAGACTGCTGGTAATTTACATAACATCTGGGATACTGTTCCACCATTGTGTTAGCTTTCTCAGCAGCTCCATTAATATTCGGATGAAAAGCAGATGAAAGCCCCTGGGAGGACCCAATCAGTTTAACAAACTCCCTCCAGAACTTTGCAATAAACTGGACTCCTCTATCAGAAATAATTTTTAATTTTTTTAAATTTTAACATGGATTTATATGCCGCCCTTCTCCCTATAGGACTCAGGGCGGCTTACAGCATATTAAAAACACATAAGACATCATCCCCCCATAAAAACCTGTTAAAAACCAAATATTTTTTTCGCTGTATAATTAATTAAAATTTAAATTAAAATTGTCCCTATTTAAAAATTCTCCCTAGGCCAGACCCGCTTGTTGAAAAAGCCATGTCTTGAGGGCGCGGCGAAAAGGTAGGAGGTCCGGAATCGTCCGGATCTCGGGGGGTAGTTCGTTCCA